CCCGCTCGGGCCGTGCCCCTGGGCAGGACCTACCTACAGCTGCGGCAGCGTTAACCTTCATATGCTTAATACGAGCTCTACGGCCCGACCATTTTGCCGCTTTCACAGTGCCTGGGGGAGTGAGCTGGGCACGGTTTCTGGAAGGGAGCGTAGTCCGTTATGTTACCCCACAGCAATCCCTACAGGGATGTGGTTCGTTAAAATCATCTACCTGCCAAAGGGCTGTCACGGGCTGGGGGAAGGCAGCTGGAGAGGCAGGAGGGCTCCGTGAAAACCGTTTTGGGGATATTTTCAGGAGCCGATTTCGAGTACAGCTGAGTGTGCTGTTATACATCTAGCTTTGTGTGTGCAACCATTTGTGCAACCACTTGTCTGGTCCCCGCTGCTTCTGCAGCGTCCCCAGATGCTGGCCGAATCCAGGGACCCTTTGAGCTAAGCTTGCTACCTCCATGCAATAATGCGTAGAGGTACCTGCGCAACAGGAAAGTCAGGATGGGAGCCCAGACCCCGGGGGCTTAGACCAGGTCACTGGCTGCTCGAGCCGGCTGCGCCAGGGTCTGCTGATCAGCTGTGCAACCGTGCATGCCATCTGTTCCCAGCAAGCTGGCTCTTGCAAACCTCCCGGCTCGGCTCCGTAGCTCACAGGGGCCGCTTTCTGCAGCACTGAGAAGCAAAGGCTGAAGCGCTTTCATGTGCAGGCAGCAGGCGTGCGGGCAGGCAGGCAGGCAGCTAGCGAGCCTGGCACCCAGGCTTGTGCTGGGGCTGAGTCACTGTGAGCAAAACCGTGTCTGTGGTCGTGGAAATGATCCTTCCGCTCTTGCAGTGCTTGTTTACTTCTGTATTTTGTGTGGAGAGCTCTGTGAGCAACTTGTACCTTACCCCGGCCCGGCTTGTGCGCGTGTGACGAGGATGGGGGGAGTGTCCCCTCTGGCTGCTCCAGCCCCTTCCCCTCCCGGCTGCTGGTAGCATCCAGGCGTGAGACAATTTGACACAAATTTGGGGGTTGGTTGTGCACACACCAGGTCACCTCTGCATTGATCGGGGCCGATAGCTGCACGCACAGCCACAGCCACTGAGCGCAGAGACTTCAGGAGATGGAGCCGGGGGGGGATCTTCAGGGGTCGTCACAGCCGTCCTGCCCCCAGGCAGGACTGACTCTTCACCAACTATTCTTGAAGACCCCAGGCATCTCCCCACCTTCCTTGGGAGACCCACCACCGCGCTTTTCTGTCCTCACTAGGAACCTCTGCGATGCTGGCCGACCCTCGCTGCAGCGATTAAAGTCCATTTGTTGTTCCCTTAGTGCAGAGAGAGGATAGTTTGCTCCCTGCTTCTCTCAAGCAGCTCTTGATGTATTTGGAGACTGGTCTCACATCTTCTCTGAACAGAGAATGATTTACGTCTGCGTGGCTACGGACGAAGCAGTTACACCTCGCCTTGTGGACGTCCACAGATACTTGCTCGTGAGCACGTCAGCTCCTCGGATGCCAGTTCTCGCTGCTTTTCTCACACAGGGGCTTAAATGGGTTGTGTTGGGCTGCTCACCCAAACCCTGACCTCTTCTGCAAGGGATGCCCTGCGCAGAGAGTGGTTCCCGTGCAGGAGAGTCAGTCACACCTCCGGCTGTGACTCAGCCTCCTTTCACCCCCCTTCCAAGCGCTGGCCAGAAGCAGTTAACCTCTTTCCATTCCTGGTAACAGTCGCGTTGGGGAGGTTGTGTTATTTCAAACAGCCTCTTTGCATTTTTCTCTTTCCCCTTTTTACAGATTGCGGAAGGAATGGCTTTTATTGAGAAGAGGAACTACATCCACAGAGACCTGAGGGCTGCCAATATTCTGGTGTCGGCAATACTGGTGTGCAAGATTGCAGACTTTGGACTGGCCAGAGTCATTGAAGACAATGAGTACACGGCCCGGGAAGGTGCGGGAGCTGCTGGGGGCGTCCGGCCGCTTTCTGAGATGGTGAAGGGTTGTGGGATTCCCTTAGAGCCACTTATCAACGTGTAACCTTGGTGGGAGGGACCCTGGGAGGGACGTGATGTGTAAACAGGCAGATGGGGAAACTCCTCTCATTTGCATCACTTCACATCTTCCTCTTCTGTTGGCTTGTTTCTTGTTTCCCATATTTCGCCACCAGTTTCTCAGCATTTGGGTTAGAGCTCATGTTTCCCGTTGGATCTCTTTGTCCAGGCGCCAAGTTTCCCATTAAATGGACTGCACCAGAAGCCATCAACTACGGGTCTTTCACTATAAAATCAGATGTCTGGTCCTTTGGGATCCTCCTGACAGAGATCATTACCTACGGACGCATCCCGTACCCAGGTAAGGAGGTGAAACGCCTCCTCTGATCTGGTTCCAAAGGACACGCTCCACCTTCCGGGCCCCATCCATGGGATCCGCTTCTCCGTGGAGTTAGATCGCTGAAAACAGAGGGAATGGTGAGAAATCTGAATCTCACACTGGGAGCAGAGCTCAAAGACGGTAGCACAAGATCTTAAGATGGCAGTTCTGTCTGTGAGCCACGGAGAGGAGCCCAGAGCACGAGACGGTCTCCGAGCAGCCTGCGCCACTCATTTAGCTTCATCGACTCTTTGGACAAGAGCTCACCTAGGATGGATAATGAGGAAGATTTTCTCCCTGGGAGTCCCCAGTGGACACCAGCTGTTTTCACTGACCTGAAATCCGCGCTGGTGTGACATGGGGCCCCCTTTTCACAGTTTCCACAAAGCAGAGCTGGGACATCTCTGGGGAGCCCACGAAATGAGTCCAGGTAGCGATGACTTTGGGGTGCCCACTGCTTTGGGGAGAAGGGCAGCTGCTCCATATACTGCCTTGGGGCTGATCCTGCAAGGAGGTCCTGAGCTCCTCCAGCTCCATGGAAACCCAACAGTAGCCAGGATCTCTAAAAGATCTGGTGTCTCTGTTTCTAAAATAGAAGATCATGTTTTTAATGTGAGAGGATAATTGACTTGCTCCAGGCGGTACCGCATGGCCCTGGGGGAGCGGGTATCGCACGCCGCAGGTTCCTGGGTCACGGGTTTGTGTCACAGCACTAACCCATGGTTTTCTGCCTCCTGCAGCTTAAGCATGTTTGGAAGTAGCACATCAGTTCAGGGCTGGTAGCGGAGCCGAGTGTTTTTGGGAAGGCTCGAACAATCTGTAAATCACCACCATTAGGAACCGCCCTGTATTTTATACTAACTGTTTCTTTGGTACCTTTTTTCCACGGGAAATTATTCTGTACGAGAAAAGTAAAAGTTGCCACAAACCGACCATGAAGGATGTGGGGTGGCATAAAGGGTTGCTGGGGAAGGACCAGTTCTGCCATCACACTAACTTATTTTCATCAGTGACACTGGAAGGAATGGCTCGTTGAAGACTCAGCAGATGGAGAAGCGTAGCCTTTATTTTGTGGAAATTTATACAAAACAGTTATAATTCCCATCTGATCTGCTCAACCGGGGTACAAAACTGCAGGCTACAGCTAACTCAGCATCTCGGTTGTTCGCATGTTTCCCTGACCGGGAGCAGGAGTTCCCCCTTCCCAACACCTCTAACCTGCCCTTTTTCTTCCTAGTGACGTCGCCCAAAGGGTGGGTAGTTCTGGGTTTGGGCGGTTTTTGCCTTTTAAAGAAATCGGTGATCAACCACGAAACGTTCACCTGTCCTGCCCTGTTTCTCCAGGGATGTCGAGCGTGGAGGTGATCAGGGCGCTGGAACACGGGTACCGGATGCCCCGCACGGAGAACTGCCCCGAGGAGCTGTATGACATTATGATGAGATGCTGGCAGACCAAACCAGAGGATCGTCCCACCTTCGAGTACACGCAGAGCATTTTGGAGGATTTCTTCACTGCAACGGAGAGCCAGTATCAGCAGCAGCCGTAACGCAGGAAGCTTGGTGAAGGCAGCGGATACCCCGCACTAGGCCCACCATGTTAGCGGCAGCGAGCACATGCACCCTGCTCTTCCCTGTCCCACTCGTGATCTGCCTGCGCACGCCTTCCTCTGCCAGCCTGGCCCAGGAACCACAGCCTTCCCGGTGTGGCTGGGCTGGAAGCGGGGGCAGGAGGAAGCCGCGCTCGGGCCAGCCCTCCGGGGCTGCCGGACGGAGGGAAAAGCGACGCGGGGTCGTACCTCGTGCCTTTCGCACGTGCCCGAGTGCCCGCGAGGCAGCTGCTCTGGGAAGCACTGGCTGGACGGTGGTTGCTCACGCCGGCTCGCACAAGGAGGGCCGGGGCCGGGCCTGTTTCAGCTACAAAGGAAAAACCCTCAGGTTATTTTTTATTTTTTTTTTAAATCCTTCTGAGATCTTATCATGCTGTTTTGCAGAAGTCGGTGCTTTGGCTGCGATGGCCTCGGCGAAATGCCGTTACGCTCCGGGCGTGCTGTGCAGCGCCCACGCCACCCGGTCCCTGCGTGTCGGGGAAGTCCCAGTGGATTTCCAGCCGGCCATGCCGCAACG